CTTGCCCCCGCTCGTCCACTCAATGGGGTTCACCGGCGAATTTTGATCAGGACCAGATGTTGCTCCCTGCGTCCAGAGCCGATGACTGGAGTTGAAGTCGCTTTCGTGGGACCAATTTGCTCACATGATCAACCGGATTAATACAAGTTCCAATAAAATATCGTAATAACGAAGTGTAGTGCACCAAGCAGTTCATTAGCATTAAGACGTTCTTATTATAAATATTTTTTAAACAGCTTATTATAAATAATTCTTTAAACAGTTTATTATAAATCATTCTTTAAACAGTTTATTATAAATAATTCTTTAAACAGCTTGTTATAAATAATTCTTTAAACAGCTTGTTATAAATAATTCTTTAAACAGCGTGTATATATATCAGGTGTACGATTAACTTATAAGCCGTTTGGACAGTTTTCTGACTCGTTAGTCTAAGTTGGACATAGCGTGTGCCACGAGCATGGTTCGCAGTCGGAATCTCTAAAAACGGCACAAACATAGTAAATACGTATGCTTGGAAGCTATTGAATCATAATCGTGGCAAACCTTTGCAATGAAGGGAGTTTATTCCTAGTGACTTGTCAAGTTGACAACGATGACTGGGGGTGAAAAACAATTGAGAAGTATATTAAAATATATAGCATTAATTAAATCTTAAAATATATACGTACTTAATATTATAAACGTTATTAAAGTTAATAATAAGTGGTCTTTAATAAAATAAACTAAGCTGAAAGTTAGATTTGATTCACGCAAGTTTGATTCACATTTGATACGCAAGTTCTAAGCAGATCGGACGATAAAAAATGTTGGTCGATAACATATCCTAAAAAAAAAAAATATAGAAAGTTAGATGACAATTACTCTAATGAACCAAACAAGACCTTTATCCTGAGTTGCAATTTAATTTCATTAAGTATTCTGTTTTCCTTTGTCGAATGAACACTTAATTGGAAACTTTTCCATTAAGCCGTTTCGATGTCCGCCGCCACTCGACCAAATCCGCTTGCGGAGCACGGCGTGTGACTGGAGGCGAAGAGCCCGCTGCTGCCGGACGCACACACGGACCTGGCCCCGCCCGACGCCCACCGAAGGCCCCCGGCACAGTCGGCCCAAGCGCCTACCCCCAAGGGCAAAGCATTGCCCACCAACCATCCAATGCACTGACCCAATGGACATTAATTACTCCAGCATTCTAAAGATAGTATGGCAGCTTTTTGGTTGCCGTTTTCTTTTACTCATTTTGGGAGCCGACAGCAATAACTCAGTGGCAACAGCGTTTATCTTGAAGCATCGTTGAGAGGAAAGTGTAGAGGGCCAGTTGTCGACGGTGAAGGATTTTCGACAAAAGCTGTTTAGATGGGTCCAATTCAACTACTGTCTGGAGGAGGATTTTAGAGAATTCTCTAATCAATAGATTTTCGTGGTTTCTATCATCAATCCCGGGCAAATATAGAAACAGTATAATAAAAAACGAACAGCAAACCGATCGTCCGTTCATCAACGTTATCTCATGTTCTCCCCATACAAAACACACACACACACACCTACACATACATGCACTACACTACCACTCATGTGGGGACCTATCAGGATCTTAGAACATGTCACGCCTGGGACGGTGTTCCGTCGGCGAAGGTAGGTGGAGGAGGAGGAAGGAGGAATGTCCGCAAAGCGACGTGCAGCTCGGCGCCGGATCTTAACCCACAGCAGAGAGAAACATCACCACCTCCTGAGAGACAAGAAGCACCACACTCATGGGAAAAATGATCTAAGTAATTGACGGGCCCGGGTCTAAAAGAACTCAAGGACTCATTTATTTTGAGACGTACGGTGTCACAATTTTGAATAATCTGATTGTGTTAATTGTAAGTGTTGGTGGTCCATTTAAATTAACACTCCAAAATATCTCGAGAAGTAGGTATAGCAAAAAATAAAGTCTGAAATGAAATGTCTTTATTTAAGAGTAGAATATAAACATGCGCCAGACCGTGGGGGCGGGAATTTACTTTGGAAATTGAAATGGAATCCACTGATGTTATGTTGTGTATTTGTTAGCAGATCCGTATTTATGAAACAAAATGTCGGAAACATTCTTTGAAGAGCTGTACAACATGAAAACGAAGTTCTCTTACCATTTTAAATTTTACGAAAATCTGCAATAAACAATATCAAGTTTTTGTAGTGTGTAACTTAACAGATTATTTGATTGATGGTTTCGTGTCTAAGGAAGAAGCTTGAGGAAGTATTGAAGTTTACTTCAATATTTATTTTGTCCGTTCTGAATCACGACGTAGCCCTTTGACTACTTTCGAGCAATTTTGATGTATTTTATAAAAACTGTATATGTTTTGTTGTATCTTTCAATATCTACAAATTATTGCGCACAATTCAACTGAATTTACAGTATTGTATGTCAATATTAAGATGACTTCTACATATCTATATGCAAAACTGCATTCCCTCACCATCCTCCAAACATTACTTACACAGACACTTATAATCTAATACCTCACGACTGTTGTTTTTAGTGGCATTTTTGTGCGCACTTTGGACCACTGTAGGACGCGGTGAATTCGGCGTGAGAGGGCGGGTCGGGCGGCTGGGTCAGTGCGGCCGGAGCCACGGTGTGGTCGATAGGATCAGAGGCGGGCAGTTGCTTGCTGCTCATTGGCACTGACCTTTGAGCACGAACGGCTCGCTCATTGGCACATCGCGGACGCGTCTTTATTCCACCCTCTGAGAGTACCTCTACCTCTACTTTCACTATACAGATGAGCATTTGCTTGCCGTCAGCTGTTGCCTTGCCTGGGAAATTTTGCTCGGTCTTGACAATGAGCTCAAATGCTGACAGCAAAATGACACTATTGCAAGTGTATATAATTTCTGAAATAGCTCTGAATACAAATGTTTTTATAATATTTCTTAACTTTATACTTACTTGCTGTATTTTGTAAGAAATGTAACTATTGTAATAGTGCAGCGGAAAATGGCAAATTTTGACAGAAACCTTGCCGAGTTTTGGTAAGGAAAAAGTAGATAAACCTTGTTGCTACATGTGGTAAATTACTTCGTCTATCTCTTTTTTAGTTTGGATGCATGTTTTGTGGATCCGTGATGCCAAAAAATTGATTGACGGCAAAATCTCTGCTTGCAGTCAACGCTAGTGCGTAAACTGTGCAGCCAATTTTCTCCAAAATTGATGTTCCCTGATCGTAAACCAACTCAAGGATCTGCGAGTTTGAAACAGATGCCTTTATTTGTTAGGGTTATTTTCATGAAGCTTCAATTACATTTTCAACATTTTCTCAAAAATGGTTCAACATTTTTTCATTAAATTTTGTCGTCGCATAGTGTAAAAGACGTTTAAAAGAATCTCGGATGTCTTAGTTTCGATGAAACCCCTGCATTTTCGAAAATTGTGACGGAAGCAAAATATTTGTTGGCGGCTTCCTTCAACTACAATATTGAACATGGATTTTTTGTTAATGAAATCTGTTCTTTAAAGACACATCTTGAAATAATGACATAAACAACTTTTAAAAAATGAGCAGTTATCGCATAATTTGCGTGGAATATAGCCTATTTAAAAATGTTTGAAACAATGTTTTTATCAATAACAACTCTAAATTTATTTCATTAAATTACACTCTTGTATGTATCGAAGAACGGTAAGAAATTTAGAGTTACCTCCATATTTGAAGGTATACATATTTGAAGATACAGACTTTATCTCAAAATCTGTTATAATAAATCAAATATTTAAAATTTCATGCACTATTTTTGGAAAAACGAGAAGTTTTCGCGCAATTTCTGCATAGAATTAATGCAAATTATACAATTTTTTTTCAAAAACCGCTCCAATTTGTTTATTTTTTGCACGGACACAAGGGATATTTAAAAGAATTCCAAACAGCTCCTTTCAAGTGGTAGCAACAGTAATTAACGAGGCGGCGTTATTTATTATTAGGTAATTGTTAACATTTATTCAAAAAATTATAGCCTAGTGTACAGCTAGTTTATTCATATCTCCTACCTTGAATAATTCAAACAGAACAAAGTTACTGGTCAAATAATGTTTTGACAAGAATTTCCATTTGCAGACGGATTTAAAGAAATAAATGGAATTGTGTATCATGATGTTAATTGAACAAATATTTGGAACACAGTAAAAATATCGACCTTATTTCCAGAGAAGTGCACTGCTAAAATAAGAGAAACATCATATATTCGTTCCAACAAGAAACGAAATACAAAACGGTATGCTCCGATGGGAAAAACAAATGTTTATCAGCTTTATACACGAACGTCCAGGTTCTGTACGAACTACATGATAGTATATGGGTTACAGAGAATGTTTTTCAGATGACATATCGTTTCTTTTCAATCAATGGCACCGAGAGCTGTGTATACTCAAATGAAACCACCTGCTACTTTGTTTACTAACACAATGCACTTAAGCTGTGTTTGAATGTAATTGTTGTAAGTTCTATTACATGATCAAAGACACTATAAAATCAGCCGAGATAATTATGAGATATTTTTTTTAATAATATCAGTCTGTAGTGGTGGTAAGAAACTGACAACATAAAATTAGCAGAAAATCAAATTTGTCACTGAAGTGCAAGTGAATAAAGAAATTGACGCAAATACAAATGATTGCAAGTTCTGTTTAATCTTTAAGCATTAATATTTAATCTCCAAACATTAAAAAATACCAGAGGTTCTACAACAGCAAACATTTTATCGCATTATAGAAAACATACTTAATATTGTAATTTCTGACCTACTAACAATTCAGCTAATACTTGAAAATTTGTAATTCAACCAATTCAAACGACGCGCCTGTGATGCATTTATTTCGATAGTCAGGATAGTAGTCATTCTTAATTTTATAAATGAAACGAACATAAATTAATTGAACTGTTACATTATTTGTAGCCCATTATACCACGTAATTTTATATTTGCGTGCTTTTATTACATCGAAGTGAGATTCCAATTTTTAATTATCAAAACTTGTCAAAGCAAAAGATGTGTATTTGTTAGTTGTAAATTTAATCTATTTTCTTTAACCCTGTTTTCTTTCGTAAGAATTTTATCTACTTCAAACGAACATGACGAGCGGAACCACGAGTTAGTAGAATTCAAAGAACTTAGAAGTATCATTGCGTGGTCAGCGCTTCGAGGTGTAGGAAATTCGAATTTACAATTTCAAATAGTTTTGCAATTTTTGAAAATACAGAGCGTGCGCCAAATGTGGAACCAGCACCACTTTCTTTACCATTCTTTGTTAGAAACATGAATTTTTGTTTATTTCTGTCATTTTTGAGAGAATAATATTGTTTAAAATTTACAACCTTCACCCGCCAGAGTTGTAAGAAGAACTGACGTTTAGCCATGAATCTATTTTTTGCTATCAAAGACCCCTCAGACGTGAGGCCTGACTGCATAACGTGTTAAAGGAAGTAATTTACTATATAGGAACACAATTTATCCAGTTTTTCATTATTTGCGCCAGGCAAGATGAATTTTGTCTTTCGAAAATTCGCGGTTTTTGCCTCGCCTCTATACAATTCTTTCTCTATACTGCGTAAGCAATTGGCGAGAAAGAAAAATAAAAACGCAGATGGGACCAGGCTCATCAGACAATTATGCAAAAAAATAAATAATAGCTTCACATTTATATCAAATGCAAAATCATACAGTTTGAAATACATCCGTATGCTCACACTAATGGGACGGCTTGTGAATAGTGTCCATTTCGAAGTTTTTGATTTAGTTATTCCGGGTGCATCAACCATTAAGGTCATGTCCTGAAAGTGTA